AAAAAAAAAAAAAAAAAAAAAAAAAAAAAGAGAAAACAATGGAAAAAACATGCGAAAAATCAAGTTGAGATATAATGTAACACTTCGATACCTGTTTTCAGAAATAGATCATCTAGTACACCGAAGAAGTAAGCTCACCAACACGATTTCATTTCGCGTTCAGTTGAAAATATTAGCCTATTTTTAATCGTCACGCGTGTATTTAGAGAAAAGGAAAAAATGGTCAAATGCTCATAAATGGTTAAGGAAAGTGGAGGCTGAGATAGAAAGCACGCATTCATCATGCTACCATATTTAGGTATAGTGGAATATTAGCGAGAAAGTAGTAGTGTTCTTTGTGAAAATTAAAGATACCGAGCATCATCGTTGAAAAATAATATCTTGCAGCAAATTTATTGGAAGGTTGATTTTACAGTAACTTGCGTCTGATGTCCGTTTTTTGGACACTGTCCGGGACCATTCCTTGGACGCATTGTACCGTAATAGTATTAATCGTTTAAGCCATTTCGTCGACGATCGAATGGCGAAGCGCAAACGTAAATTGTGCTGCCATGGAGTACAAATTCTTCCTCAGGGATAGTTTATTATACATACTCGCAGACATCGTTTACAGGTGTCACAGCTTCCTTTCTCTCTGTGTATTTTTTTTTATTTTTGTTTGCCTTTTTCTTTTCCTTTTTCGGATTTTAGAGGTGTAAAGTGAATTGGCGTTTCGTTGGAGGGCGGTTGATGAATGAGAGTCAATAAACGTGCGTAACGAAACGTGTTGTCTGTTGATGTACCACTGCGTTGGTCGATTAATGGATTAGTTGGCAAATAAAACCGTTTGAATTTCACTGTCTCTACTGAATGTCGATTGGTCGCGTGGGTTTCTTTATTTGTTTCTGGAACAAACGGTTGCGAAGATTACTGGGTTATTTTTACAAGAAAAGTAGCGATTCTGGTGGCGATGCTCTATTTGAAATCTGGGTCGAAGATGGTTTACTATTATTCTTTGGAAAATTTCGAATATTCTGAATTCGTTGGTGGTTGGGCTATTTAGGTTTCTAAATTTCTGAAACCAATTGTCTGTGAAAATTACTAAATTATTTTGATAAGAAAAATATTAATTCTAGGGGTAACAATTGGGACGAAACTTCATTTAAAAATGATATGCCATTATTCTTTGGAGCATTCTGAATATTCTGAACTCGTCAGTAGCGTAACTTTACGTGTTGAAGTTGTACAAAACATTGCTTCGATGTTTGATAATGAATTCGAGAGTCCTACAATCGTATAATCGAAATTTCAAGACTAAAGAGTTGGCAATTTATTAAATTGAGAAAATAAATCATCTCGATGTTTCAACCATGAATTGCACGGAGGAAGAGGTACAATTTTAATTCAATTTAACTTCACATTTTGGATTTTTCGTAGATCGGAAATGTCGTTTTCAGTTGATAAAAACAAATGTCTTTCAATTAAATATCTTAATCCCGTTGATGGAAATTTTGGACGTATACATGGCGTTCAAACACGAATTTAGTCCGGATGAGTTCTGCATTCTTCTATTCATCAAGGAGAGGCCAAAAGAGAAATGCAAATACAGATTCAACCCAGTTAAAGAACGTTTTAGCAATCTCGAAGAAATCGAGGTTAAATTACACATTTCGTTATTGCAAGCTTTCACCTAACAACTTTGCTAATATACTTTGGGCTTTTCAAGGGTTTGTCAATCCCGTTACAAAATATAATTATCGACTTGTTCATGAATCTCGTTCGTTATCTGGTTTTTCTGGAATCGATAAGTAAAGACTACCTGGACAAGCAGAACTGTCGTAATTACAACGAATTACATCAAACAATGGGTAAGTTGATAGCGTTTTGTCATCACCGATCACATTGTTTGATCGACCTGTTTCAAGGATTCGATCTTGCAGTGTTGGTGTACGTCTTATCATACAGAGTATCGAGTTTATTCTTCGAAGATTCGATCGACTGCTTCGTTCACTTTAAAATAAGGAAGACGATGTCTCTCGTTGCGTACCTCCTTCAAGAAGAGACTTTAAATATTTTCCACGAGAAGGGTTGCTTGATATTCGATGAGGACTTTGTCGAGCAGAAACTCGTACTGCCAATTTTGGAAGCCACACCGTGCCTAAAGGTCCAATTTTGTTATTTCTGTTGCTTCAAATCGGCCATTTTTAAATATAACGAATAGTGAACTACGATTTTCGAATAACTATATTATAATAGAAGCTCCAAGAGCATTTGAAGGAGTACTCGAGAAGAATGAAGATTCCTAAGAAGGAATTGACGACTCCCATGTTTATGAATGTCTTGAATCGACCCAGCAGGCGTTTGAAAGTACCTCCGAATACACCTGAAGTAAGTAATTATAATTATAAATATTTTTTACCAAACGGAATTGGTCTCGGGTTGTCTGCGAAATAAATTATTAAACGTACCTTATTGCTTTGGATCGACAATGCCACTGTCCAACACGAATTTTAATCTATAATATGCTTGGTAATTATGATAGGGTTTACTTCTCTGAATACGAATTCGTAATCGAAATTGCTCTACCACCTTTAATTTTCGAAAAATATGAGTTTTTCTACAAACACACGATTTTTTACTAAAATGAAATATCAAATAAAAAATAAGAAAGTTAGGAAGTTAATTCTTAACTAAAAAGTTAGATGAGAGTATCTCAAGTTTATCAGTGTCCATAATTATAATTATTTGTGTTTCTGAATGATTATAATAGGTCGACAAAATTTAAAAATATGCCGCCGAGAGTACCTTATATACAATATTCTTACATATTTACGAAAAGTTCATTTGACACGAATCTGCTACACAGTATGATATTCTGTACTCTTTTCTAAAGGCGAAACAACAAAACAGAATTGTCGTAACAATTTTCACTTCGATTAGATCAAAGAAAGATTCAACGGTAACGTGTATACGAGGTTTTACCGCCATTTTTCACCCGCTACAGCTTCGCCATTCTTGACA